ATTAATTATATGTTAAATAATGATACTGATTTAAATGACTTAATTAAAATAAAATTTATGCATTTTAAAGAAATTTTAACTGAAAATGAATTTAATAAGATAAAAAATATTAAAAATTAGAGATTAGAAAAAACAATAAATTGGAAAAAATTTGATTTAAATAGAGCAAAAAATGATTTAGATGAATTGAATACACTTTTAACGAATGAAAAAAATGATGTTGATAATTTAATGAATGAAAAAACTTTTAAAGAAAAGAATAAACAAGATTTAGTAGTAGAAAATGTGGATATAGAAACATACAAAATCCCAAATATTGAAGCTAGTATAGATGGTCTACGTCACTACCGTGAAGTAAAGTTAAGGAATAGAAAGCTAAAACAAGAAAATGAAATAGAATTAGAAAAAAAGAAAAAACATAAAATGAGTAAAATACGTTTCACAGATCTAATCTTTGAAATATTTGAAATGTTAAAAATGGTTAAACGGTGGGAAAAAAATGATGCACATTAGCTGTTTTTTTTTTAATCATAACGTTGTTTATTAAGAAAAGGATACAACAAACTTGACTTAGCGAGCAGACCAAGGTCTATGGTGAAAAAATTTCAAATCCTATTGAAAATGTAAATGAAAATAAAAAATTGATCAGTTAGATTTAAAATATCTATTAACCCTAAGCAGCCGTCCAGGGGTCCAACCGGACCCGTTTCGCAGTGTTTTCTTTACCATTACGTCTTCAGTGAATTGTTCGAACTGCTATTTTGTCTAATCGTCTATAAGAGTAGTGCGCATATGAACCTTATTGTGTTTTGCGAATAAGTCTTAAACGCTAAATTTTAGACTACGGATCCATGTCGACCCCAGGACACTCTTTGTGTTATGCTCGCCTATTTGAACGTTCTGTTGACCCCCTCTATTTTTAAGTGTGAGGGGGTAAGGGTAGGGACGCAATTGGGGGTGAGGGATTGCACGCAAAAAATCGAATTCTTTATTTCTCCCTTCGACGGGTTCAACCGGACCCGTGGACAGCTATGAAGTCCCGAAATGAGGACGGCTGCCGAGGGTTAAATGAAGCTAATATTGATATAAAAGATAATTAAATTATCTTGGATTTAATTTTACAAATCATCAATATAATTATTATAAAAATGATAAGATAATCACTTGTGAATCAAATGATGGAATAAAAAGTTAAATGAAAATGAATTAAAAATTTTAAATTATCATTTAAAATGTGATTTATATTTTTCTATCTAAATCATTAAAATTAGAAGAAAAAGTTGATAAATGTGATATTGAAAAATCAATAATTAAAGAATACTTAATTAATTATAAACCGAAAAATTTTAATTTTAAAATAAATAATGAATTAAAATTTAAAGAAAAAGAATTAAATGAAAGAATTAATGAATTAAATAATTTAAATATTAATAAAAACGAAAATATTATTGAAAAGTTAAATATTTTAGAAACGAAACTTGATAATTTGAAACATAAACTTGAATCTAAAACTGGAAAATTAAATGTATTAAATGAATCAATAAATGATTTAAAAATTAGAAATGATAATATTAATTATATGTTAAATAATGATACTGATTTAAATGACTTAATTAAAATAAAATTTATGCATTTTAAAGAAATTTTAACTGAAAATGAATTTAATAAGATAAAAAATATTAAAAATTAGAGATTAG